TTCAACTGATGAATTCCAGCACCTTGCTCATGAAGGCCAGCAAACTTCCTGTGCTCATACACAGCAAAACCATGTTAAAGATGAGTCCAGCAAGTGGCAGAGGCAGCACATGGGAAGTGCTTTCCTGTCATAAAATTCTCTCCGTAATATTTTGGAGGCTATTTTGAAGAGGAAGAGCATTAGAGGGAGGTCTAACATCTCCACCAATAACAAAGCAGAGGGTTCGGAGATGGAGGGGTGGAAAGCATGGGGCTGTGTGAGCACATTGTGCCACTGCAGTGAGGCTGTGCAGCACAAGGTTTCATCCAGGAGGCCTTGCAGAGGCACAGAGCAGCTGAGGAAGGGTTCAGCCTGGGAGAAGGGCTTTGGTGCACCAGAACAGATGGTGTTTTCCTCATGTCTGGGATTGGGCTCTTGCCTTCTGGCAAGGGGGCAGGGGAGGTAGAAACACCAGCATGGAAAGAGGTGAGCGTGAACTCATTGAAGCAATATCCATCTGAGCCTAGGCAGGGCAGGTGTTTATTTAAAGGCAGCTGTCAGAGACATTTATCTCCCCTTTCCCACAGACGTTCCTGTCACCTCCACTCCGGTCACCGCCTCCTACCACGGCTGCATGACCCTCAAGCTGAACAACACAGCACTGGACTTGGATGAGGCTCTCTACAAGCACAGTGACATCACCTCACATTCCTGTCCTCCAGTCCAGGAGGGTCAGTAGGTACCACTGCAATGCGAAAGTTTTATACTCAGAAACTTTCAGTGCTTTTCTTTTTTTAAAAGATATAAATTATTCAGATCTACCGCACTGCGTGTATAGTTTCTCTTAAACACTGAAGTTATGTAGAAGCTACTGATCCCTATGTCAGATTGATTATTGAAATGCTCTTTGCTTTGAGGTTTAAAGGTTGTAATATATTTGTAAATAGTTCAGAAGACTAATATTAAATAAGTCAAAAGTACAGAATGTACTGAAAGTGAATACTATCTTTAGGCTGTAAGAGACAGTTTCATCTGCAATGTGGGAAACTTGGTAATATATGAGTATGGACTGGAAGAAAAATAATAATTCTGTATTATTTTTTATTACCAAACACTGCTTTCTGATGTGCAAAATATGAGAGAATAAAATATTTACATACAAGTTTTTAATTTACCTGTACTGAGATTATTCTGTATTCTGGTGTCTGGAGGTTACACCGGGAGAGGGTGGGGGAGAGGGGAAGGGCTGCTTTTTTTTTTTTTTGGAGGTTGAGGGTTGGGGTTTATATGCTTCCATCAGTGTTTCATATCTTCTTAGCTGCAGAGCAAATGGTGGCTGCTATTCTTATTGCTAGAGCTTCTCTTTCTGGTACCACAGAAAAAAGACTCAGTTGTGACCTTTAGAAAAACTCTTGGTCAACAGAAAATGGAAAATGAAGTTGGGTCAGCAGGAAACATTTAGAAGGAAAGACTCAAGAAGTTGAAAGCCATACAGCTTTTGTGTCAATAGCTGCTGGAGTAAATGATGAGGTGTTGAGAATTGGGGAATATTATCTGGTGATGACATATTTTTGCTGCTGCATTTTTGGTTGGCTCATTCAACTGTGAGCCTAGTGGGAGCAGAGAGGCTTGAGCTGTGAGAGCTAGCCAGGCTGAACTGCATGAGGTGAGAATATCCATGGGGATTTATGCAGGAAAGGTTTTAGAGCCATAAAGTGTGTTCAGCTTTTCAGCTATCCTTCTGAAGTTGGGATGGGCTTTGCCTAGTCTCTCTTGAGTCATTTAAATCTTGTTTTATTTGGTCCTTGTCTTGCATCAAATGAATAAACTGAGTAATTTTGGTATATGCTGCAGTACAAAAATCCAAGTATTGGGTGGCTAAGGTTACACCATCCTTCAGAGGATTAGCATGAAAAAAGTCTAATTCTACAAGGTCTTTTATAAATTATCCTTGGTCAGTCATGTTATGTTTTCCCTAAGCAGGTAAGGAGATAACATATTAGTCTAATAATCCTCATGTGTGGCAACATCTGCGACCAAACTGTGAAGATAAAACTGTCCCAGAGGAAAAGGGGAAAGAAGGGGAAGACTATTCCAAGCATATTTTCTAGCAAGGATCCCTGCTTTATTTAGGAGAGAAGAGAAGGGTACTCTATTAGCCATTAGACATGGCATCATAGCTTCTTATCACAAGTAAAACAATCAGCAGTGATGCAGTAGGGCAGAAAAGAACAGAACTTTATCACTTTGAACCAATCTACTCATTTATACTTGGAGAAGAATCTACTGTCAGCTCTAACCAGACACAAGTTTGAAAAGAAATTTCCCACTAGACAGTAATAACTTACTGAAAGACCGTGCATGGATAGGAAAACCCAGGAGTAGTTCTATGTTTTTGCCTTTTTTTTAGTTGAGCAAGGGAAACCACCTTGTTTCTGAAAGTGCTTTAGTTACCCCAGATGACTGTGGATCAATTTGTGATCCAGTATGGGGCTGTAGTTTGGCTTTGTGCTGGAAACAGTGTTGATAACTCTGGGATGTTTTAGCTATTGCTGAGCTGGGCTTGCAGTGCCAAGACCTTTTCTGTTTCTCACCCACCAGTGAGGGGGCTGGGGATGCACAAGGAGTTGGGAGGGGACACAGCTGGGACAGCTGATCCCAAGTGGCCAGATGGATATCCCACACCATGTGGCCTCATGATCAGCACATACAGCTGGGGGACAAAAGGGGAAGGGGAGGGACACTTAGAGTGATGGTCTTTGTCTTCCCAAGTCCCCGTTCCACATGACATTTCCCAGCTTTCCTGAAGATGTCTGAACCCCTGCCTACTCACGGGAAGTGGTGGATGAATGCCAGCTCTGCTTTGCTGGTGTGTGTGGCTTTTGCTTTACCTATTAAACTGTCTCTATCTCAGCCCATCAGTTTTCTCACTTTTACACCTCTGATTCTCTCCCCCATCCCAGCAAGGGAGAATGAGTGAGTGGCTGCCTAGGGCTGGGCTGCCAGCTGGGATTCCACCACAAAAATCTCCCATCATTTAGACTTGGAGTAACTCCACTGAAAAAAATTACAGATACGGAAGACATCTATTTTTAAACCAAGAAGATGAAACAAGCCCTGCTTTACTTTGCTCTTTTCAAATGAAACAATCTAGCAAAATAGTTTCATGTCTGGTATTTTGGTAAAATCTCTGTCGTAGTTCCAAAAAAACTACCGTGTGGCATAAATGAATCACAACATGTCTGACTTTTGTGTTAATATAAGTGACACTATTTATGTGGCCAGAATTATTTTAGGTCCTGGAAACATGAATCCTGTGGTATGTTATGGTACTCTGCAGTTCCATACTAAATGTCACGTGTACGAGAGCATTTAATTCTCTAATTCAGAGCAGAAATTGCTCCCAATCTTTGCATATGTGTGCATATATGTGTAGATGTTTTGCATAGACCACAATGCACCCTGACTCAAAATGTGGTTTAGAAGAGCAACTCCGAATTTCTCAGTCTGGAGAATGATAGTAGAGGTGGGGGACAAGGTGGGGCAGAGTGTAAAGATGAATTGTTTTAATACCCTAGTGCAGTACCCTACTGGAGAAAGGTTAGGAGGAAGAGGTAGCTGCAAAAAGCATTCCTTCATTCCTTCTCAGTCACTTGCTTCAACCCAAGAGAAATATTGATTTCATCCTTGTTCAGTTAGTCTAGGTGTTCAACCCGAAGGGATCAAGTCTGTTCTGGACTTTGAGTCCTTAAAATGGACCCAGGTGGTTCCCCTGGTAGTATTCACAGCAAGTAAAAAGAAGTAAATGTGTAGCTTCACTTACTTCATAATCAGAGTGACTGTGCTTTTCACAGCATGCACTTGCACAAGAACTAAGCACTTGGGATGCATTAAATTAATGTTTAAAACAAAACAAATGATCTCTCTTCTGACTTCTGTTTTTCTCAGCCATGTTCAAATAACTCACCTTGTCAACAAGATGGGTAAGGCACCTCATCACTGGCCTAAAACTTTGCATCTTAGAAAAACCTTAATTGAACAAAAGGTGGCTTTTATGGTCCATGTAAATTAATCTTTCTTCTTATATGTATCAGTACTGAATCTGCTTTTCATACATTGAGGTAAAACACATGAATTTTTTGCAAGTTGCAAAGTACCATGCAAAAGGATGATCACTATTTTTTCCATTTTAAGCAGGTCTGATGGTGTCCCTTTCTTTCAAAGGAAACTGTCAAGTAAGCTGGTTTTGTTTATTTAGTTTTTTTCAATATCCTCATAATAGAGAGCAGCTGCTTAAAATGTTAATGAGAAATACCTTCCATTCCCTGTCTTACTCTTTGGCATTTCAGGAAATTTCTAGAGCTTCATTGCTGTCTAGACTGTAAGATCTATGGAGCAAGCAGCACCAACACCTTCCTGCAGGAGCAAAATGCAGTGAAAGGATGCAGCATTAAATGGGTTTTTGTGCTGTTTGTAAGTACCCCTGTCCCAGAATAAGGCGAGTGTGTGCCAAAAGGAATCCCAGCTAATGTGAGGAGGCAGGGTGCAGACAACAGGGATATGGCTTTTTTCCTGTCAGTGGCACTGCCAGAGGTATTGTTGCTTAGCCTTTGGAGAAAATAAATACATTAAAAAAGGAATTGGGCCCCTTCATTCCTTTCAGCCTTTCATTCACTCTGTTTCAGTCATTGTGAAATAACTGCATTAGGTCTTGGATTAACTTAAAAATAAATATGAGGCATTTAACCTAAAATGGTTTTGCTTGTGGTGCTCTTTTGACTAGAAAGGAATTAATTTGAACACTAAAGTGTAGCTTAAAATACACATCTGGAAATGGTATTTTTAGTGCATTAACATGACATTTTATTATGAAGACTAGACTGGCAAAAAGTTCAGCTAAAACGGTCCAAATAGACCATTTCTCTTTCTATCTGAAACTTGAAAAGAGAAACTATTTGGTAGAGTACTTCTTCCTCTCTTCTTTTGTTTTCCTTTCCTTCCAAATATACACAGCCTTAGGATAGTATAAATATACACAGTGAACTTTATTGTAAAATAATTGCCACACTTTATTAGTACAACACTTTCACCAGAGGAGTTATTAAACACTACAAGCAAACAAACTCTTGCTAACCAAAATTATTGACTCTGGGAGCTCCCAGCTACCCACTCAGACAACACAGTCTAAAACCCCTCAATATTGGTTCATAGAAGCAGAACACATATCTGGAGTATTTTCTTCATTTTTCCTCTTGAAGAAAATCTATTCTGCAGTGGACTGGGAGGGAAGCATCTCATGCTTACAGTAGCCAGAAAGTTCTACTACATCTGCCTACAGGCACACTGAGTGGTGGCGTGCCTGCCCTCACAGCTCCAGGGCTCTGCCCTGCTCACCGGGAGAGGTGGCTAAAAGCAGAGTGGCAGTAACTCTGTGCTGGGCTCCTTTGGGAAGTCTACTGCCTGCACAGCACAGTTTCCAGAGGTTTCTTTAAAACAAATGAAAAGCCTACCAGCTACTAAGATAAATTCTTTGTTCTATGGTGCATATGGTGGAGGCTTTTCCCCAGGCAAGCAGTAAGTTGGTGTATAGAGGGCTGGAGCATTTGGGGGAAGACCATAGCTGGAGCTGGACTGAGATGGAGGCTGAGTTTCTTCTGATAAAGAAATGTCAGTAGATGATGTTCCTGGAAAATTGCTGGCAGGCTGTATCAGACAAGGAAAAATAACTTCTTCAGTAAAGGATTACAACCCCATTGCAGCTTTGTGTTGTTTGCCATGTGTTACATAATAAGCCCCATGATTAAATTTCACATGCATTGCAGCACAACGTTAACTTTAGTTCTAAAGCACCTGCTTAAGTGTAGCAATGATGGTGCCTAGTGAAACAAGAGATTCCATCTGTAACCCAAGTCATTTTTAATAGACATTGTGCAGACAGCTAGGCAATAGAGCAGAACAGGAATTTCTGCAGGAAAAGATGCTTGGCTTCCTGGGTGAGGCACAGCACCTGACTGACTGATTAGGTTATGTGTAGCTGCTCCTTTCCAGGCCTCATTGTGAAATTTAAATTACCTCAGATGTAATTAATCTCAGTCATAATACTTGCATAATTATTTGCCAAATGCAGATTCCTCTTAAGAGAAAATTTTACAGATGGACACGTTTCCCTCTTTGGCAGTCAGCTATGATGGGGCTTTGCCTGAAAAAGGCACATTAAATAAATAGAGCTTGGGAAGTAGCCTATCTTCAGAAACAAACAGGGTTCATTAACAGAAAAGAATGCTTGTAGGGAGTAATATTCTGGATAAAATCCTACTACTGCTTTAAACCAAGTTTTGTCACTGATTTCAGGAGGATGACGATTTTACTCCTCCTCTCATATGACAGCACGTGTCAGTCTGTGGGCTTCAGCTGAAGACTTGGGCTCAGTTCCCCTCAAGTTCAGACTTTAAAGGGAACTTAAAGTGCCTGGAATTTAAAAATGAGATAAAGTAATCATGGATCTTTTTCATGATTGGGAAACGAAAAATCTGGGCAAGTGATGTTCCCCGCTGCTAAAAAAAATTAATATCCACAATCTAGAAGGCTGGGCCAGGGCTGCCCTTGGACAGCGGCATCTCAGAGCTGTCCAGGCTGGCAGACCCCATGCCCAGGTGTTTGCTTCCTCCATGGGGCTCCATGTGACTGCTGGGTCAAACCCTCATGGCAAGGAGAATGTTGTCCTGCATTTGTACCACACAGTGACTTAGTGAGTGAGAATGGGGAGATCTCAACAGGAAGGCTTGTTCATGCCCTTTAACTCTCTGAGGCAGTGCAGGTACACTGACAGACCTGCTAGATACATCACCTCCAAACTTAGGTGTTGTGGTTTTGGGTTGGCTTGGGGCTTTATTTATTTCAGAGTTGTCGCTTCCCTCCCCTCTCAATCTGCAACCACTGCTTCCATCTGTTTGCCTGGAATTGTTTCTGCAGTGAGTTCTCTCTAGCAGGAATAAGTGGCACAACCCATAAGTGCTGTCATCACCAGCAGTCCTTGCCCAGCTAATCAGGACCATTACCTGCCCAGCTGGCTGGCCTGTTACCAAGACTAGTTGTGGCTGAACTGTACCAGCAAGGGCTGTATTATTTTGTTGGCACATGTCACAGTAAACAAAAGAAATGCTGGTTACATTCTTTCAAAATGCATTCCTGCTATCACCATTTCTTTTTGCCATATGGCTGATTTCTTTTATAGACTTTGCCTCTCTGGCCAACATTTATTCAGTGAGATACTGGATTCAGCAAAGGACAGGAATGAATGTCATATATCTTTAACCTGAGATAATCCACTGGTGACTCTGAAGGGTAGACTAGCTCAGTCAGGGACTTCTAATCTGTGGACAGCTAAAAATTCAGTTTCCCACATCTAAGTGTGCAGCCCTTTTGGGATGCCATGGGATATCCCAGATGTCCCTACAGATGTGACCCAGGTACAATAAACCTGGACCCTCTCAGAGTAGCAGCAGGGGACAGGTGGCTACTTGATCTCATTATCAGGCAGTTCAGATCCCTACATGCCAACAGCCCCTGTGTTCAGTCAGATGAATCCCAGACCCAGACTGGGATTAAGGACTACAACCATCTGAGCAGGACTTGTGAAGGTCTGAATCCAGCAGCTTGAAGCACTGAGATGGAACATGAAGACCTCCAGCCCCATGGATTCAGCCCACAGCTCTCAAGCAATGGAAGCAGATGACAGTTAAGCTTCTGGCTGTTCCTAATAATTCCTGCTTCCATCACTCATGATTTGTACCTCTGAATAAGTTTATTTTGATTTCTTAAAATTCATATACCGATGCAGAAATTACTTCTCTCCAAACTGCAACATAATGAGTTCATACATACAGGGAGGTGGCTTACTTTTACTTTTTTCCCAGGAATAGAGTTAAGTTTTCCTATTGTTTCTTACTAACCATCCCAGTGGATCCCAGTGTTTCTTACTAACCTCTCCTGACTTGGGAACAGCTCCTGGTGTCTGCCTCTGAATGTTATGAAAGTGAAGGAAGATAAATGAACAAACTTATTTGAAAAAGTAGAAATCTAGGGAAATAATAGTGTTTATTTTGGAGCACAGATAAGAATTTGGGGAAAATGCAATGTATTTCTATTTCTCAGTGGACACAAGACTGAACAATCACAATGGATCCTCATGACTACTTACATGAATATTTTCAGCTTAATTTTATGTGTTTCTATCCCCTTCTCTGTCTACTCTTGGCAACTCTTACCTGACCAGCAGATGAGAGTCCAAAGGACAACCAGAGAAATCCCGAGGTCTGAGAACAGACCAGAAAACTAGGCACAGACTAAGTAATCCCACAGACAAACCTGGGAGCTGGGATGCAGCTAAGAGCTCCTCTGCAGAGTTTGCACTGAGTAGCAGCTAATGCTTTTGTGGTGTGTGAGAGGGATGTGTGTTTGTACTGTACCTGAAGAGGCAGTGGGTAGGAGGGATAGGTAGAAATTGCTGCTGCAGAAGGACAGAACCCAGCGTAGGTCAGGATCTGCTGGGCAGGATTGTACAGGATCTGGGGAGGAGGTGCAGCACTGAAGGCAATTTGGGACAGAGGTACCTGTTGAGCACACAAGACAACAAAGTATCAGTACAGTGCAGAGGGGGCTGGAGCAGGAGCTTCTCCTAACACAGGCAACAATTCAACAACTTTCTATTTTCCAACACAAAAAAACAGCAGACAGAATGAGAGGAGGGTGTATCCGGAATGAGTTTTCTGAGTAAAAATACACAGCTATTTTAATCTTCTTCCCTTGGAAAAAGGCTGCTGGTGCTTCCCTAGCAACAGTTACAGAAGCACTGGCAGGGCTCCAGATCCAAGACACCGTGAAGTGCACAGCGTACAGCTTTGGCTGCCTCTTCTTATTCATCCAGCACCAAACACCAAGTCCTTCACCATTTGCTGCTGGCTCCTTCCAATGGCAGATACCTGATGCCCTCAGGTCTCTTTTCTCCTTCACAGATTTACCTAGATCTCCCTTTCCAGACCAGTTGTTCCTCTTTCACAGCTCACTCTCGCTTGGGAAATGGAGTTTGCTGCTGGCTCTCCAGCATCACTCTCAATGTGCTTACCTCATTCCTACTGCAGAAAATCCTTCTCTCATGGCTTTATGGCATGTCTTTTAATTACAATGCAAAATAAAGTTTGAATGAAGAAGTAATAGCTCGCATTAAACCAGCTAAAAAATCTTGGCCAGGAAGAAAGATCAAAAGCTGGATGTGAAAGAGGGTTTGTGTTAAAGCCTAAAACCCTGTGCTATATAACAATTTGTGAAGGACAGCAGAGCAGCAGAGCTTTGTGAAATATTTTCACAAGATAAATCCAGTGGTTTCTTTTATTTCCTTTGTTTTTGTTAGCAGATTCCTCCACATGAGAGCATGGAATTTTCTTTTCACTGAAATAATAAAATATGGTAGTTGCCAGACAAATGCTGAAAGCAGCAGCCAGGATTTTTTTTTTTCTTTTTACTTCCTTTCCGATTTATCAGTGGGAGATATAAACCATTGCACCCTCTGGAGATAGTGTGAGATCTCTCTGATTAAGAAAGAGTTATATTAATTGTGTTTGTACATGGAGAACATCATCTAGGTCACTGATGTACCACATAAGGTTACTGAGAAATCTAGGCCTTAGCTTCCTGGGGAAATCTGGCATTTCAGGAGCTGGCATGGAGAAAGGCTGGGATCAAAGGCAGAGAGTTTATTTCACAGGAGAAGGCAAAAGTCCCTCATCTTCAAGGCACCCTCCTCAAAACACTCTCATCTGCAAGGTACCCACCTTTCTACCTGCCCTGCTGGGTGGATGTGGTGGGGAAGAGACACTGCTTCAGGAGTAGGGAGGAGCAGGTAACCTGCTTGCTTCAGACCCAAAGGTTTGGGGCCAGTGCACAGCCCCAGAAGGTGCCCTTCCTTCCTCAGAGGAGGGATAAAATCAGATCCCTCTGACATAAATGAGTCAAGAAACTTGACCCACAGATGTGAAATATAGATGCCTGTTCTGCATCTGTCACCAACTTTCTGGTGTGGGTCTCTTTGGGTGCTGCTGTGTGACCCCTTTGGCTTCTCCTCTCAAGGACCTCTCTCACATTCCATCCACCCATGGAGCAATGCTCTCTAATTGCTAAGGATGAACATCTCAACAGTCCAAGAAGACAAATCTGGGGACTCATCCACGCCACATATACTAATTCAAAGCGCCTTATTATCATGCTATCTGGTCTCAGCCCAGGGCCAGCAACAATTCATGGTTACTGAAGCTGGCTGGATGCTTTTATCAAGTATTCCAGTAATGACTCTGTGTTAAATTACTCACCCAAAATACACGGGTGGGTTGAGACATTCTAAACTGCACCAACACCCAAGTGAAAGAGATAAGGAGCTATGAACTAGCCAGGAGTGCTAACAGTGCCAGCTCACTCAGCTCACTGGCCTCACACAGACCTGCCAGAGCATTTATGTCTGACCTCAAGTTTCTTTCCACATCAGACTGCACCTGTAGTTTCATGAGTGCTAAGCCATGAACCCATGGTAAGTAGCTCAGTCATTAGGGGTTCATTTTGCTTTCCTTTTTAGAGCAGGGTGAAGGAAGCAATGCTATTTAATCTGTTCAGATTCCTTTAAGGACTGCAAGAAGGAGATTAAGTAAAACAAATTTTAAAAAGCATCCCCTTCCCAGCCCCCATCCTCCCCTCAGGATTATCAGTAGTTCAGACTAATGCAGCCCTAAACTCAGGGCAGGCAGATTCCTTGGCAAGGTGTGTCAGAAAAACATCAAGAAGTCATCAAATGAACACGGGACGGGGAAGGAAGTTTCTAGATTAACTCCTCATCAGCAAGTGAAATGTTCCATGTAATTCTTTACCTGCAACTTCTGTAAGAAATAATCACTGTGTGTTATCATTTTGGGCACCTTGACTACATTTATTGATATAGTATCTTGATCTGCTTTTTTGTTAGAGGTGACTTTAAGGTAACTGCCTCCATGTCTTATATCCAAGCATGCTGTAGATCTTAAAAGGAGATCAGGGGAGTGCCCAGGGTCTGCAGGGAATTTGTCACAAGAAAGAAAAGCCAAAATAACCAAAACAACACCTCTTTTCTGTCCAGGAAATATGATGGGTTTAAAGGAAAGGGCACTGTTTTGCAAACTCTCCCCTTTGTAACACGGTTTGGCTGCCAGCATTCCCCAGAGATAAACATGATGGTTTTTGTTTGACTAGTCTGCCTGGCCTTGTGTTTTCTGGAAGTCAATCCCAAAGCAATGCTGTGAGGCATTTCAGGGGGCCTTGGAGTTCTCCCTGCAAAATGACAAATGAGCATTTATGTGAGAAGGTGACATCTTAAAGCAAAGTACATAGTTCTCTCACATGCTTTAAAGGGATTTGTTTTGCTCTTTTTATTTCAGTCCCATGCCCCTTTCTTTTCCTCTTCTACTTGATGTTTTCTTGACCCCTGTCTTCCCCCAAGAGTTACTCCTTTTGTAAGGAAAGGGAGCAGCAGATTAGCAAACTATTTCTGGTACTAACTCAAAAGAACCCTGAGAAAGCACAGGCAGGAGCAAGGAGCAATCATTGCATTTTGGATTGCTGCTTTTTAGTAAGGCTTTCACAAGCATAGCTGAGGTGACTGACACAAAGTCATCTTGCCCTTGAACTACAACATCCTTTTCCTGCTCACACTCAGTGGAGACATTGAACAGCTTATTCAGATGAGGTTTTTAGCTGGAGCCCTGACAGGCTCACTCCAGCCAAGCCTGGGGTCAAGCTGCTCATCCACTGCTGCTGGGATTTCTCTCCAGGTTTTATGCCACCCAGTCAGAGGACCCAGACCATGACCCAGGCTCTGCCTCCCAGCAAGGGAATGTGCCAGATCATGGACACTGCAGTTCTCCCAGGAACATCTCCTTGGCTTGATGTTCCTCATCAGCAGTGCAGTGATGGCCCTGCAAAGCACAGAGCTGTATTAGAGCATCAGCCCAAATCTCATGTAAGCTTAGGTTTGAGCAAGACAGGTTAGGTGGACTCAGGCTGGCTCTCTGCATGCTTCCCACAGCTGCACTCACACCCATCTGTGAGGCAGGAGAAACATTTGGGGGCACTAAGCTGCAGTGCTCTCCCAAAAACTTACTGTAGATGATAGCTGCCTTCACTCCACATACAAGCTGCTCTTCCTTCCCCTCATTTCCTACTGTGGTTGTTTCTGTTCCCCTTCTGCTCCTCTCACAGGGAGGGGATGAATTAAGATGGGAAAACTGCTTCTACTCCCTTTGGGCAGCTGCAAGTCTTCAGTGGCTGGCTGCAATCTGTTATCAATTCCTTGCAGGAGTCCCCTGCATAAAGGAGAGCTCAGCTGCACATTTCTTACATGAGACAGCTCAGGGCTCTTGTTAAGCTTAAGCTGGACAGAGGAATATTTCCAGGAAATGTTGCAACCCTTAACAAAGGTGAATTTCAAAAAATTCACATGGCCCTGCTCTACTTTAAACATGGATTTAAGCACCCAACACACAGTGTAGACAGCCTGGGCATGCTTCCTAAGGAATGCTGGGGGGTCAGAGATGTCAGGCCTGATTGGATCTTTGGCTCTGACTGGGTGCCAGTTCTGAGCAGTCCCTTCCTGCCACTCTGCTCCCCCTCCTGTCCTGATGTACAGCTCATCTCCCTTGCCTGTTCTATCTCTCAGCTATCTCTCATGCCTTCTCTTGCCTGCTCTAGCTCTCTCTTTTTTTTTCATTTTACCCATCTTTCTATTCAGTTTTCTTCTCTGCAACAGTGACCAGACACATCATGGATCTAAGATGGCCCATGCTGCTATCAAACCTCCCTTTGGTTCCTGCATTTCACCTCCATCTCCATGCCTCTGCCCATTTAGTTCTACTACTCTCCTGAAAGCCTAGTAAATCATGAGCCCCTTGCTTGGTCTGTAGGCATTGCTTTAGCAAACAGGGCCACTGACAGTGATAATCCCAGGAACACCAACTCCACCCTCTAACGTGCCAGTAACACAGGCAAATGAGGGACTTTATTGGAGAATTCCTGTCATGCACAGTCTCTTCTGAATGCTGTGATGCACAGCATCGTGGCGTGGCACAAGGAGTAGTTAGAAGGCAGCATTCCTTAGTGAAACAAAAGAGGATGTTGAAATGTCCCGAGCAGACTGTTTGAATAAAAATTTAACTGGTACTTCAGAATTCACCCCATTCTTAGGGAAAAGAACTACACAAGGCTGAGCAGTCCCACGTAGGACTTGACTTTTACATGTTAGCCACAAATTAGCATCCTCAGACTCCGTGCTGGCCCACACATTCAGTGATGAATTAGAAGGAAAAAACATATGCCACTAAGTGAATTGCCAGCATTTGTTCACACTGTTGTGGTATTTTTCTTCCATTCATGAATTTGACTGGGCTTGACCCACTTAGCTGTGAACAGCTGGCAACAGCTTTGCCTAAAGGTAAAATCCATGAGAGTGGCTGAATTGTTAAGGAACAAGGACTCAAAACATTCCTCCATTTGCTGAGACCCCAAGGCGCTCAGCTGAGCAGGAGGAGGTGAATTTTTGGGTGTGTAATGGCTAAAGCTCTGATCTGATAAGGCACAGGGTGAATGACGGGCTGTGAGTGAGATAAGAGCTGGATCCCGTGGAGATGGATTGTTCCCGTTGTCTTGCTAACTTGTCGTCTCTAGCACAAACCACTGAGTTGTGGGTGTCCCCCTCCTCCCCCCGGGGAAGTACCAGGGAATTCAAGACATTTGCCTGTGGCATCTTTATCTTTACTGATAGGACATAACTGACTCTGCTGCTAGGATAGGCAGCTATGCTGTCTTAGAAGGTGTCAAGGATTCCCAAAGCATCCCATAATTCACATTCTTATGTCAAGCTCCCCGCCTAGCGGGGAGGTACCTGAGCATTCCCACCTGAACCAGAGTGAATACAGACTCACAGATGCTGTGTTCTAGGGATTTCTCTCCACTACTCTTCAGGATTTCCTCCATCACCAGACAGATGTGATCAGCAACCACCACCTTGACCAAGACTGCACAGCAACCAAGCCTTGTCTCTTGTGGGTGGTGACATCCTCATGCTCCTGTCCTCTCTCTCTTTCTTTCTCCTTCTGTGTGTCCTTGGGTGATGTTGTTGCACTTTCATATTGCAATTCTTTAATCTTTTATTACTATAGTATATACTATATATATAAACACCAAAACGGTTCCATAGCTGCTTTCCTTTGCAACCAAATTGGTTTATAATAAACCCTACATTGTTTATTTTAAAGCAGTGATATTTAGTGTTGTTTCATTCTAATCTGCTCCAAAGGAGCTATTAACAAGAACCTGAGTTACACTCTTGGTACCTTCTGCGGTGGCTCACATTCCAGACTCCCACAACACCCTGGAAACATATTTAAAGCATCTCCTTTGTACATTTATACTTCCTTGATCTTAATTTGATAATGCCAACATGCAGAAAGCCCTCACATAAGGCAAAATACTGTGAGCCTTACCATGTCTTTAAAAGCCCCAAGAATGGCTGCGGTGATAATCCCCAGGAACAAGCCGATGATGTTGAGGACTGTGGAGGACCACAACAGTCTGTACAGGTGGAGCACGTCTTGGCAGCTGCTCACACCCAGAAACTCATAGTAGCTGGAGGACTGGTCTGAACTGAAAGAGAATGCAGAGACAATGTCACTGCAGTGGGAATGGTTTTGCACACAATACAGGATCCTTCCTGCTTGCTTTCCTCTTTGGCAAAGTACTACACCCTTGCTCCCACCAAAAACTGCTCAGAAGAACTGGAGAAAGCCCTGCTGAAAAACTGGCTCTGCTAAGGACAGCAATCCAACCCCAGTTTGGCTGATTGATGGTGGTTACCAGCATGGACCCTTCTTTATTTTTTGTTCAGTGTCTCTAAACAGAGACATAATCTTGGTATATGGAGGCTGCTTTTTCCATTTAGCTACCAGATAAAGCTTGCTTTGCTTTGCTTTTTTACCCAGCTCACCTAGAAATCTGCTGGCATCTCAAAAATTGGGTAAGGCAAGTTTCTAAAGCATTAATTCAGCCACAGGAAGGGAGATATTGCCAGCTAGCTACATTTGTTTATGGTGTTTGTGGTTTCAACACAGTACAGTATAAAGATGTCTTTACACTTGGGTTGTACTATCCAGAAATCTTTGTTCATATTTCTACACCACACTGGTTATTGTAAATCAGGCATGTGGTGAAGTTACACCTCATTGTCTTGCCAAAAGCCAGAAATATCCTACTGCAAAATTTGAAACCACAGGTTCCTGCAGTCCTTTCCAGTACCTACCTTAATTTGAGCCCACTAATGATCTTCTAGGTCAGCTATTTGAGTAGGAAAAATTTTTTTAAATGCCAAGCCTGTTTTTCCACTGTTAGGAAATTGCCAAATTGCCATGAGATTATGGTGGAAACCAGAAGTGGGCAGTTTGTGTTCACTCCTCTGTTCCCCCATCCCCAGTGCATGTGTGGTTAGGGAAAGCTCTGCAGAGCAGTCCACAACATTTCTGGGAAGCACCAAGCCAGGCACAGTAACTTCTGGAAATATCCAATCAATGGCTTCAGGTCATGGTTCTGGCACTGAAGAACCACTACTGTTGAGCTCACCTGGGCCCTGCCATGAGCCCATCTTAACTAAATAAACCTACAGCTTCAGCTGCCATGAGGCTGGGGAAATTTGATTTACAATCCTGCCTTCATATCAGTCTATTCTAGGCTGACAACAAATCACTTTGTGGGCCTGTGCCTCTTCCTACTACTCTCTAGCCATCCTGTGAACTGGAATTGCCAAGTCTCCAGAGCAGCATGACTGCTTATTTACCCTGGATTTGTCCATGCCAGTGCCATAAGATCTTGCTGTCCACTGTAGAATGTTGACAATAGGAGAACACACACATTTAATATAACATTGGATAATGTCACAGCAATGAGCAGTCCCAAGTGTTTCAAACAAACTCAGTCTTAGAAAAATGGCACTGAGGATCTCCATCTGAAAGGGAAATATGCCTGATCTCTCCTTGAGGTTACTTTAAGCAACAGTTTCAGTCACTTTTTTCTGACAACTCCTAACACTTTCACCCCTTTAACAGTCCTGTTCTTTTCTGTGTTGAGTTGGGCCGGTTGGTTCAGTGTTAACATGCAGACATTAGCTGTGTACCATGGAAGGAAACACTCTCACATACTGCATTGCAAATATTATGTTCCATCATATGTCTCTTATAGAAAAGGTACCAAAGCTGTGCATTTTCTACCTTTCCCACTTGTTTTGTACACTTCCATCATGTCCAGATTTAACATTTCTTACATAAGCAAAAGACTCTACATAGGATTTTAATCATTTCATAGACCTTCATTCACTTTGTGTCTCCCATCTGCATAAATCACCTCCCTCTAGTCCCAAATGTTCTTTTACTTCTCTAGTTGAGATATCATCTGGCTAAAAGCTACCTTTTCATGCAGAAGCCTTGTGTAGAAGCTTGACTGTTCCCACGTTGTCTCCCTACACATAAAATGTTTATGTCTGGCATCACACTAGCCAAGTCCTACAGATGACTGGGGTTATTCAGGGCTGCTAGTATGTGAAGAGGAGGCAAAACCAAAATAAAATAGATGTAGGAAGGAAGAAAAATGAGAAATACACAGGGGGAAAGAAAGAAAAATTACTGTGGTTGAACTGTAGAGGGTTGCAGAGGTTGCATGAGAGTATATGGTAAAATTATATAGAAGATCAGGTAAGACAAAGGAGAATGGTTTTAAACAACAGGGATGATTTAGATATAAGGAAGTAATTCCTCACTGTGAGGGTGGTGAGACACTGGAACAGATGTCCCAGAGAAGCTGTGGATGTCCCGTTAGTGGAAGCATTCAAGGCCAGATTGGATGAGGCTCTGAGCAGCCTGTCCCAGCCCATGGCAGGGGAGCTAGAACCAGATGGTTTTGAAGATCCTTTCCAACCCAAATCATTCTGTGATTCTATGACAGTAAGATGTGCAAAAGGTGAGCCAAGCAGAAGATTCAGTAAATCTAATGGGAAAAATGCATTGCCAGACCAACAGTATATCTGAGCAGGGATGTAACTGAGTGATCAGTTTTGAAGACATGGCAAAATGGTTATGGACGTATTCAAAGGAAAAGAAAATGAAATTATACCAACACAAATGAACAACTCCTGACATACTTTGTGCTGGCATTAGGACTTCAGTTGCAGAGAAACTGGATTTCTCAGCATACAAGCTCCCTGTGTTACTTCTTCAGGCCCTGCCAGTTACAAGGACAACCAGACAAGAACTTCTCAGAGGCCACAGAATGCACACAGGTACTTACTTCTCACAGTTGTACAGATCACAGCAATAGCATGTGTTACTCTTCACTTTCAGCTGGCACCTGCTGTTTAAGGTATGACATGTAACCTGCCAAAAACCAGAAATTTACTTTAATGCTCAATGTTTCACTGTTGTGTGAATCATCCTACTGTACTGACCACAAAACAACCCAGGTACTACAACATTGTCAGGTTGTATTACCTGTTGTGCAGAAGGATCCTGAAATTCCAGAATTCATGACTTGAAGCCAGAAGGGCACCCCTGAGCTCACAGGAGTCCTGAGTCTGAGGGCATTTGCACTGTGGAGCCCAGAGCTCCCAGGGCCAGCCTGCAGTCAGGACTGCCAGAGTTTTCAAGCACTTTGCTGCACAGCCTGGTGCTACTCTGCTGAGACCCAGAGGGTGCAGCCAGGAGCCTCAGAGCTCCACAGCTGTGACAAGCTGACTGTGGGTCTGGAGAGAGACACTACAGCAAACACTGAAGTGGATAAGAGAACCAGTTGTTATAGCGGGGAAATGGCAAGGGAGCCAATTTATCTGAACAGCTTCCAATAAAGGGGAGCTCTCCCCTTTCAGTGAAACCCTCCTGAAGAAGGAAGTAATTATGAATAACAGCAAGAATAATCTTCAAAGCCACAAACAGAATAATTCAGAAAATATCCAAGCACTCCAGCAAATAAGTACCATTTATTGCAGGCTCTCAAATTCAAAACTGAAAAGGTTTATTTATGCGAGGAAGAATTGCAGGGATAGACAGATGTTAGAAAAATAAAGGCAGGCACATGTAAGCCACTCTCTTTCCAGACACAAAATCATTTTAATGACTCCTTAAGTATGGTAAGCATTAATTATTTCTATTTGGCACTACAGACCAATTGAAATACTTTATATATAAGGTTTTGGGTTGGTTTTTTTTCCCCTGAGAGTTTTAGCTTATTGACTTTGAAATCCTGGAGAGCTGTCAGGTTTTAAAAGCTAGCAGTCAGAAAATACATTCTTTCTATAGCTTTTATTTGATAGGAAAAAAAAATCTCTGCAACCACTGAGAATTATTTTGTTCACAAAATACAATTAAAATATATTATTGAATGGAAAACTCATAATGAAAAAGTAGAAGGAACATGCTTAGGAATACATGCCTGCTTTTGACAAGTTTATCAGACTCAGGCTAAGCTCTGGCTTAGTCCACAAGAGATGTTAAACTAGATGTTTCTCACTTCCTAAGTCCTGGATCTATGTATCCTTTTAGTATGAAAATTGTCACTGTTGATAAGTCTGTACTCCTCATGTGCTTGTTCCCAGCAAAAAGGAAAACCTTAAACACATACACACTCAGCAACAGAGCAAGTTCATCTCATAACTGCTCTCCAACTTGCTACACTTGTCCTTAGCAGGATTTGATTGGGCAGTGGAAGATGGGTGACAAAATTAATGTTAGGAGGAGATTAAAATGATTCCTTGGGATTGCTTTGCTGCCCAGGACAAGGCTGTACCTGTGGTTAGTGTCTCATACAAATCAGCTCTTCTAGCCCAAAATGGTAGGTAATAAAAGGACAGTCTCAGTCTAGGTTGCAATCTGGAAAAAGAGCTCTCAGTTTGATACAGGCACATCCCACTTGTCACAAGGACACCTCACCCTGAGACAGGACCTTGTTTCACCACCATTGCTCTATTGTGTCTGAACTTACTGGAGTGTAACCTAAGGGCTTTGCTGGCCTGAAGTCACATTCAGCTGCAGCTGTCAGCCTGAGCTGCCGCTGACTGCACAAGAGGAGCACCTACTGACACTGACCACATCATCCTAATCAAGGCAGTGACTGAACCATCCCACATGGCTACTTCTCAAAGCAGGTTGAAAATACCTCAGCCATTTTATGGGATGCACTACACTTCTGCATTCAGCAGATCTTCAGAATTTGGTTTTGACCTCCTCTATGCAGTGACAATGGCCCAGGATCTGCAGAGTTAAAACACCATTTTCCATTACACCGGCATGATTGGGATAGGAGGGCTTTATAAGATGGAATGGGCTGCTAAAAAGTGGTTTGTTCTCATGCATGGTTTGGGGACCACTTCTGACAGGAAATAAAAGTAGTTTTTCTCTCTCCAAGCATTAATAAAGCCAGTCTGCCTGTTTTAATGGAGAAGGCTAAAAGTACGAAACAGGGAGATCAGCATGACCTTAAACATGTTTTTGGCTGCTTCTACACTATGAGACACATATTATTGGCCAAGAAAGTTACTGTAGTCATCTATTTTTATCACTGCATTTTTAAAACATGCATAGAACAAGACACTCCTTTTTAGGAGAAGGGTGGATAAACCAAAATAAACAAATTGGTGTGTGGTGTTAGCAAGGGTGGTGAAAACAGGCCATTTGTGGGTGTTCTGCATGTCAAAAGTCCTATTATTTCATTTCAGTGACCAGACACACACCTTTTTCATGTCCTGGACATTTGTGATTTATTATCTCCTCAGCATCAATTGAAGATATGTTCTCCTATCATGGTAATTGCCAGTAAATCAAATTCATTCTGCTTTGAGCAAGGAGAACTGAAATAGGCAGACCAAATGAGCTAGAGATCACTTACAGGTGAGAGATGTCAATCAAAAGGAAACTTGCAGTCAGTAAACAATCTGCTTTCCTAGTTAAGTGTTTGCCTGGCATGCAGAGCATGCCCCCTGCTCACTACCTGGCAACCTTTGGAAAAGCAAAAGCCAAGTATAAATGCTATGAATTCCTAACTCTGAATTAGGATACACAGCTCTAAATCAGTGAACAACCAGACAAGAATGTTATTAGAAACTACATACACTTCTAAAAGATATGGGGTTTGGTTTTTTTCCAGAATAGAGGAAGGAGTTCTGGGTGGCCCAAGTTTAGACATTCCCAGAACCAGCAGAGCTGTGGAAAACCATCTGGCCAGAAGCCTGAGGCTGGGGTCACCTGCAAGGAATTGTGGTCAGTGGGACACCGACCACATTCTCATTACAGGAATCAGAAGCATTTCTCAGGCCATGTCTGAGTCTGAGTGTGCATGCACTCTTTAGAAGAGGAAGGAGTAAATCTTCCAGGAAAGGGTGTTGTCACACTTAAGAAGTTTGTCTGGGTCGGTCTTTTACATGAGATTAGTGAAATATTTTTGCCATACATTTTCTGGAATCAACAGCAGGATGCCCTAGCATCCTCCAAGATTTAAGGAGCTGCTTAACCTGCTAGTACACTTCACTAAGCTTTCTAGAAATATTAATGGCACCATTCCCCATACACCTTTTCTTAGCCATGGCAGGAATGGTGATGAAGAACAACTGGCTTCTTGAAAGTTATACCACTGTTTAGCTGTTCTCCATTTCACTTTTCTATTCACTCCCACCAATTTACCACAATAATAAAATAGGAAAAGAAACTAACTCTGGACTTCTCAGGAAGCGAGCCATTTGGATAGGGGCTACTTTCCTGACCATGCTAATGTCACTGAGATAATAAAAATGCTGCATTCAAACTACTGATGTTCTTGACCTGTGCTGGATTAATACAGAGATTTGAAGTCTTCTGGATGATAGAGATGGATTAATTTAGATATTTCCTATTCCACTTGGAGTCTACAAAAGCCTTCTTAGAGGAAGATGCCAATGTGACAAACACATTCCAGACAGTTATTCTACAGCATGGATGGACTAGGAATCATTCCAACCCCAAGAGTAAAGTACTGGATACAAACACTGATGATGACTCAAAACCTCACTGACTGTAGTGATTTTAAATCATCAGAAGCTTGGACAAGCAGAGAGCCACTTGTGGGAGAAAACCAGTGGCATTTCTATCTACCCATGATCTACATGCACAAACATGCTCTCAAACATCTCCCTCGCCCCTCCCCAGCACAGCAGAAATGAACACATAATGAGGTGAGTTTGTTTACCTCAGTCTGGTAGGCATCATACAGGAATTCTATTCCACTTGAATAGAACTGGCATCTTTTGTTATACAGAGGTCTGGGTTCCTGTAAAGAGAAAAACAGCCAAAAAAGTGATTGGTTTGGAGGAAGTGGAAGGTACTATGTACATTTCCCCACATGGATGTTTACAACTCTGTGGAGCTGAAGCAGTGCAGTCACTTGGGTAAAAGGCTTACCTCCCCTGTGTTGGCTTTCCTTCCTGAATGGCTGTCCTCAGGGTTACATTTTCCATCCTCACTCCACCTCTAAGCTACGTGAGTATCATCTATTTTTCTCTAAAAGACATCACCTCTGGCATTTAACCACTTGACGTCATTTAACCACACTCAACGTCAAATAGTACTGCTCTGACAATGGTCCAGTCATTCTTTTTTCTAGTGAAGTTTCTTACCTAAGAACCAAAATTTATTTTGCAGGTTGTTTTCAAGATATTGGACTTTCTTTTTAAAGAATTTCAACAATGTCCATGGTGAGAACAAAGTCAAGTAGATAATAGTCTGAGGATTCCACTTACAACACACACTTCAAACCCCAGAAGTAAAACAAAGAATAATTAAGAAATTAAGGCATAAAGAGAAAGCAATTTACATTGTTTGGTTTTGCTTTTTTTTCCATTTATACAGTTGCAAAAGATGCATTCACTGCTCATATTTATATTTTACTTGTAACAGTTCCCACAAACTGATATAAAGGAAGAACACAATGAAATGTCCTTGGCCAGATGGAAAATGTGTGTTTCTGACCTTGGCAAACAGCCACTTTGAAGCCTGGAGGGTGGAGGGTGCATTCCTCAATCAGTTTCAGGACTAGACTATATTTGTTTTGGGAGGATTTGACAGCTTGAGTCTTCTGTGATCCAATATCTATCCCAAAGCAGTCTCGGAAATACTTGTTTGCAAAAAAAAAAAAAAAAAAAAAAAAAAAAAAAAAAGCCTTTTTCAACCTTCCATCACTTATCTAGTCCTGATCTGTGCCTTCAAAAGCATGAAGAGATGAAGAGCTGGGAGCATTTGTTGATCTGTTAGAAGGTAGGAGGGCTCTGAAGAGGGACCACCTGGAATGGTTGGATGGATGGACAGAGTCCAGTAAGATGAAGTTTAATAAATCCAAGTGCATTTTGGCCACAACAACCCCCTGCAGCGTTATAGGCTGAGGACAGTCTCTCTGGACAGTGCCTAGGCAGAAAGGGACCTGGGGGTGCTGGTTGACAGGTGACTGAACATGAGCCAGCAGTGAGCCCTGGTGGCCAAGGAAGCCAAGGGCTCCTGGCCTGGATCAGGAGCAGTGTGGCAGCAGGAGCAGGGAGGTCACCCTTCCCCTGTACTGGGCACTGGTGAGGCCACACCTTGAGTGCTGTGTCCAGTCCTGAGCCCTCAGTTTGGGAAGGATGTTGAGACACTTGAGTGCATCCAGAGGAGGCAACAAGGCTGGAGAGGGCCTGGGAACACAAACCCTGTGAGGAACCACTGAGGGAGATGGGGGTGTTTAGCCTGGAGAAAAGGAGACTCAGGGGCGACCTTGTCATTCTCTACAACTGAAAGGTGGCTGTAGTCAGGTGGGGGTTGGTCTCTTTCTCCAGGCAGCAGATGATAGAATGAGAGGACACAGCCTTAAGCTCCGAAGGAAATACAGGGTGAGCATTACGAAAAAGGTTTTTTATGGAAAGAGTGATAAAGTACTGGAATTGTGTGCCCAAGGTGGTGGAATCATGATCCCTGGATGTGTTTAAAAGAAGACTGGATGTAGCACTCGGTGCTATGGTTTAGTTGAGGTGTTAAGGCATGGGTTGGACTTAATGATCTTGAAGGGCTCTTCCAACCTAGTGATTCTGTGATTCTGTGGAAGTACTCAAGCACTCACTGCTCCTCAGTAAGTCAGTCAGACCAGATCCGAGCCATCCCCTCTTTCCATGCCAACTTACAAGCAAAGGACTATTTAAGCTGTTAACAGAAATCTTCACTGATTAACTTACACTGCATTTTAAAGCTTTAAAATCCATCCAGGAATAACCCAGATTTTGCATTAAGATCTGCACTACTTCAGCTCACAAGCAGAGTATTCTCTGTTGGATAATGAAGTGTGAACCGTATAAATCTGCTGATCCAAAATACATAACTAGTTAAAATGCAGAGCTATGCAGGAATGCAGAGAGATCAATGAATAAAGCTTCTCCATCAGCTTGTTTGCCTTTCTGATTACTCCAGCAAACTTAAGCAAGTTTGGACACCAACTCTCAAGGGTTAGAGAAAGGTTAGCTTCCTGCATCCAAAAATATTTATTTATACTACACAAGTGTAAGGAAAAAAAGCTTCAGTAACTCTTCTTCTCTAGAGGAAAAGCAAATACCACACGAACAGCATGCCGCGTCTTGAACTAGGTCAACATTCTTCCACAGTCCTGGGAAAGCATTATCCTTTAGCCATGACTTCCAGGGACAGCTCTGGTTGGGAGGTCTAAGAGGATTGCAGTTTCTTTGCCAGAACAAGGAGCTGACGAGGAGAGGAGCTCTGCTGGACTTCATAGTTACAAACAAGGAAAGATTGCTCAGGGATGTAAAGGTCAAGGGCAGCCTTGCCCCTAATGTTATGCTGGAGTTCAGAATCTAGAGAGGATGGAGTAGGATTCCAACTCTGGACTTGAATAAAGGAGACCTCGGTTTATTCAGTGATATGTTTGGAAGACTCCTATGGGATACAGTCCTGGAAAGCAATGAGCCCCAGGAAAGTGAGTTGATATTCAAGGTTCATCTCCTCCAAATTGAGAAACAGTTCATCTCATCTAGCAGGAAATCAAGCAAAGGCAGCATGAGGCCTGTGTGAATAAACAAGGAGTTCCAGATGTAACTTGGGCATAAAAAGGAAGTCTACGAGAAGAGCAGTAAAGGGGAAATCACCAGGGAAGAAAAGAGAAAAGTTATATGAGCCTGCACAGATGGGGTTAGGAAAGCCAAAGCTCTCTTGGAATTCAGTCCAGCAAGGGTTGCAAAGGGCAGGAAGAAGGGCTTCTATTGGGTGTATTCGCAGCAAAAGAGAAATCAGGAAAATGTGTGCACATTACTGAATAAGGCAGGCAGCATAGTACAAAGACATGGTAAAGATCAAAATATTCAGTGCCTTCTTTGCCTTGGTCTACAGTGAAGACCTGTGGGAAAATCTGGTACAGAAAGAATTGCCCTTGCAAAAGGGGGATCAGTTTAGAGAACATTTAAGCAGGCTGGAGATGCATCCTGTCTTCAAGGATTATAACAAAGACAATCAAGGGAGCTACACACTGATGGGAAGGGATGGAGCTAATAATCTTGGAAACAATTTCCAAACATCTCAAGGACATGAAGGCAATTTGGAGTAGTCAGCATGGATTTAGAAAGTGAGAGTCATGTCTGAACCACCTATTGAACTTCTACAAGGATGTGACTGGCTTGGTGGATGAGTGGAGCTTCTTGCTCACCTGCTTCTCAATCTTTATCTTCACTAATCCCTCCGTCAGTCTCTCATTCTCACAGACAAGCTAAATAAGGGCTAAATAACTGGAGAGTGAGCTGGACTGAAAGCTGGCAGAACTGCTGAGGTCATAGTGCTGGGAGCAGTGACCTGAAGTCCAGCTGCAGGTGACTTAGTAATTGTCTGCTTGAGGGGTTACTGCTAGGATAATATTGTGTAGCATCTCAGTTACTGAACTGGGTGATGGGTAGAGTGCAGCCTCTGCTAGCTGGCAGATGATACAAAACTGGGATGAGTGGCTGAAACACCGCAGGACAGTGTCATTATTCAGAGAGACCTGGGCTGGAGAAATGGCCCACAGGAACCTCAACAAGTTCAGTATAGGAAAATGTCAAATCCTGCACCTGGGGAGGAATAATCCCATGCACCAGAAAAGAGTGGGGCCTGAGTGTCTGGAGAGCAGCTTTAGAGAGGGTCCTGGTGGGTAGCAAGTCAAACAAGAGCCAGCAATGTGTCCTTGTGGCAAGAAAAGCCAGCAGTATTCATGACTGCATTACAAAGAGCACCACCAGCAGGCCCAGGAAGGTGATCCTTCTTCTTAACACTGGTGAGACACATCTGGAATACTGGGTAAAGTGCTGGGCTCCCCAGTGTGAGAGACACCACAGACATGGTCTGTGAATTAACAGACTGGAATATCTGTCACAAGAGAAGCAGAACTGGGACTGTTCAACCTAGACAAGAGAAGGTTCCTGTGTACCTTATCACTATGGGTCTATACTTGATAGGGAAGTGAAGATGGAGCCACATTTCTCTCAGTAATGTCCAGAAAAATGACAAGATGCAGTGGGCACAAATGAAATATGGGAAATTCCATTTAAACATAAGAAGAAACCTTTTTTATTCTATGGGTGATTAAACACTGTAACAGGTTTCCCAGAGTGGTTGTGGAGTCTCCATCCTTGCAGATATTCAAATAGGACACAGTTCTGAGCCACCTGTGCTAGCTGACACTGCTCTAAGCACAGGTGGTTGGATTACAAATCTCCAGAGGTTCTGCCCAGTCTCAGCAACTCTGATTTTGTGAAGAGGGTCAGAGTCTATGTCAGCCTATGAGCAGACTAACAAGTTCTCTCAAAGTATCATAGGTTATGAGTTCAGCACCTGGAAACAGATGCTCCCTGGCCTTACCTTCGGGGCGTTCACATCTTACTACAGGTTGCTGATGAGTGACTCCACCACATCACATTATGAGGCTGAGTCTGACCCTGAATGCTAAGATACTCCCCTCAGAAACCTCTATCTGCTCTTAAAGGCAGTGAGAGAGCTGTCTAATCTGCCTCCATCAAGTACAGGAAGATCCTCACTTTTGGCCCTGATCTCTTGGCTTACACAGTTTTTCTACCTCTTACACTTTCTTCCTCTTAAAAAAGAAATTGGTCCTTTTATTGGTTTGGTCTTCAATGGTAAAGACAAGCACACTTTTCATCCAGGTGTTCTTGTGATTGGAAGCACCACTGTTCTCTGAGGAAAGAGGTGATTGATTAATCCATACCAGCTATTATGGCTTGATACTGATGTGCAGCAAAAAGGTCAGAGCTGTGA